CCCCCCCCCCCCCCCCCCCAACTAGACCCTCTTTTATTGTTCCAGCCTCCCTGAGTATACTGTAGGTAAAGTAATGCAGTGCATGGAAAACATTAAAGAAACTTATAGTCATACGATATAAAAATATGTATCATAAAAATATAGTCATACGATATAAAATTATAATACTAAAATACGCTTATCTTGGAAATATGCTTGCACTAAACGACTGATATATTAATTCCTACCGAATGTCAAATCTTCGCCCTTATTCGCCTTCAAACACTTTATGCCTGTTAATTGTTTCACTATTGTTGCTGCGGTTATTGTTGTTATTTTAATAGTTGTTGACGCTCTTGTTGTCATGGAAACATGTGAAGCTAATTCCTGCTGGAATTACTAAGAATACTCTTTAGAGTGGTCAACTCTAAAAAACCGTACAAATGCAATCCTGTACAAATATTAACGTAGTGCAGCAATGACCTTGAATAAACAATCTACTGTGTCTCACAATGCGCTGTTCATAGTCTAGACATTAAATTGATGTTTACGATTTTACCTAATTGGTATGACGATTATATATGGCAATTAACGTAGACCTATAAGAGCTCTGATATATGCAATATAGGTTACTTGTGTCTGGGAGTGGGTTTCTCCTAGAACTTTTGAATACATCTTATACGCCAAGCGCAAGTTACTCACGTTCAAAGTTTTGTTTTTCATTTTTTGGGCCACTTTCGCCAAACGGAGATATAGTTGAGCTTCATCCTCGCTTCCTTCTGGCAAACGACCTTTAATGACAGACAATGAATCATAAAATGACGTAAGCGCATCTTTATAAGATCCAACATAGAAATAAGCTGTTGCAATCGCACTATGACATTGAAATTCTTCGAATTTATTACAGGATTGATGACAAATTCGTGGAAGCTGCAAGAGTGCGTGTTTAAGAGAATCAATTGCTGTAATATATTCCCGCATTTGTTTTGAATGCGGCCCTTCCACGTATAACATCGAAAGATCCAAAGATATTGTCTACATTCAGGAAGTGATTCTGCTACTTGAGTTGCTCTCTCGATTGCCTTTCTCGTCAATTTAAACTTTCCAATATCAAATAAGGTTTCAACCATTGCAATGTAGCATGAAACCGTCCCCTCGCGAATATCAAGATTGCTTCTCAGTGTGATCTCTAACTCAATGTCAAGAGCTTCTTGAAAGAACGCTAGACCAGCTTTACACTTTCCTGACTCAACTTGTTTCGAACCTAACTTCAAATATAGGATAGGTAAGAACAACCTATAACTTTCCTTGATCACAGGTAAACAACTATTCAACAATTCCATGTACACGTTTTCATCTCCCTCCAAATTTAGAAGTCCAAAGGAAATTAAACCATGTGCAAATGAACGCTCTTGATCGCAATCGGCGCTCACTTCAAGTGCAGTTTTAAAAGATTTTATACTTTCAGTGTTGTTGCCAAGCGCGCTGTGCACATGTACAATACTACAGTAACATTGAACTACATTTAAATACCTGCAGGGGCATGGCTTCTCAGCATGCAGCTTTTTCCTTATTTGTAGAGCCTGTTCAAGTCTAGCAAGACCAGAAGATAAATCATTGAAACACCGTTGCGAGTCACCTAGCAAAGCTAAGATTTGAGCGATTTCTTCAGTACTTTCATCGAACAATTTCCTTTTTATTCTAAGTGCTTCTTCAAAAGATGCAACAGCGGATTCAAATTTGTTTAGGAACTTATATGCTTCTCCTTTCCCGATATAAACATCAGCTAGATCAGCATTACTGCTGCTGCTCCCATCATGAGTGGCTGTCATAATTTCAAGAGCCTGCTCAAATGCATTAAGTGCAGATATATAATTCTCAGCATTATTCTCAGCGAAGCCCATTTTGAGGTAACAAAACGCGGTATTCCAATGTTGTTTACCGCATTGCTTAAGTGAAAGATCAAGTGCGTTACGGCATGTGTCAAGAACATTTGGACCTTGTTCATTTTCTTTATCGTCCATAATCATTTGAATAGTATAGTAATTAAGCAATCGCAGAGGAGAAAAAACGGACGACATCTCCGACATAGTCGAAAATATTTCATCTGTCAAAGAACAACAATCATCCGACATCACCGATTTTTTAAGAAACGTGATCTTTTCATCGAAAAGAACTTCTTTTCCTACACCAGAGCCAAGAACAGCTAAAAGACAATCACCGTATGTGAGTATTTGAGATAAATATTGTGAAGCATTGAATGCCTTCTTTTTTAGCTGCTGCTCCAATTGATGAACAAAGTTTAAAAAGTAGAGTTGTGTTTCATCACTTAATTTTAAAATTTGGATTGACCACATATATAAATGAAAGAGAAACACTATTAATTGCTCGCTTTTATATTCCTTTTGCGTCATAGATAAAGTTTCCTTACTATCACCAATTAAAAAGAGATGGTAATTACCAATTTCTTTACAAACCTCGATGGCCTCTCTACTAAACCTGCTCGATTTGCTGCACTCGTTTAAATCAGTATAAAAAAGGGCAAGGAGCTGAAGGCATCAGCATTTTATAAGTTGCTGATCAGCGCCATTTCTTAAACCATCGACATGTATTTCAATACATTCTATACCTGACTTTATATTTCCTTTGGAAATAAGTGAAATTCCTTCATAACAGCCTAATTTTGCGGCACTACCATCCGATAACAACATGATGTCCTCACGTATATGTTCAGGTATTTCTAAACACTCAAACTTCGAGAGATAGTTGGAAAAGCCAATACTTTGAAAATATTTGCTGACATACAACTTTGAATAAGCCTCATTGTATTGCTGTGTTCTGCATTTTTCTATAGCAAAATCGTATAGTTTGGAAATATCTAGCGATTCACTGAAGGGTAAATATATAAAAAAAGAAACATTTCCGACTTAGATAAGATGCGAAAAAGATCTTGGCAATATTCCAAACTACATGTGCTTGTCGCAAAATAATAAATGGCAATGGCAGATGCTCCATTGCGTCTTCCAGTTGCGGAGTGTCCACCGACTTGCCAGAAAGAAAATCGTCATTAATCCGTTCAAAAAGAATGAAGTAATAACTACAAAAGCGAATTCTAGAGGATTGAAAGACATTCTCAAAAATGAATAAGAGGGTGAATAGAGTAATATTGTCCACAGGAATCTTCATCAATTAGTGATTTCTTCACAAGTGTTTTAAGGCTCCTTACAGCTTTCGCAACTCCAATTTCATCAAAAATAACGTCAACTGCAGCATCTTTACTTATTCTACGGGATGAAAAAACGGTTAACGAAATCAGCGCATGCTTATCACTTAATGGCAGCTGCTCAAAAGGAGTCTCGAACAGCCTTTCCATGTTTTGCTCGTATGACCTGTCTATCTCTAAAAGACTTCCCGAAGGACTTAATTCCGCAAGTATTTTATTTGCCATATCTTCATTATTGTTTTCAACTATCGAAGCAACGAGTTTCATTGCCAGAGGAACATTGGACGAAATCGTAGCCACATTTGCAACAACGCTTTCAGAAAATGAAGGAAGAAGTTGACGAACAAATTCAGCTGACGAAACTGGATGAAGGGGTCGAATTCGGATGTCTCGAAAACCTGTTTGATCGTGCATATTTTCTAAAAGCTCCCTCGTTGTAAAAACTAAATTAAAGTTAACCTTACTGTCTAACAATTGTCCAAATAAACCCGCAAGTTAACGGAACTGCTTTCACTTGACAGAAGATCATGACATCAAGGTTATCAAGTATAAGAAAAATTTGAGACGAAATTTCTCTAAGAATACTTACTAGCTTGTCAATAGGTGTTAAACTAAGATCAGCTAAATTAGTCTTAAAAATACTTAAAATTTTAGATAAAAATTCATCTGCTGTTCTAATACCCTGCAATTTATAAAAATACACAGGGCAGGTGAGAGACAAAAGATGACGTGCTACTTCAATAGCTGTGGATGTTTTACCAAATCCAGGAGATCCCCAGATGTTTAACAGTCGTGTTGATTGACCAGTTATAAGGTTTGTAATTTGTTCAATTTCATCTTCTCTACCAGTAAACAAGGGAACAGCGCTTGGAACATATGGCTTGGGTAACGTTTCTATATAGATTTAAAAATATGCTATTAATTAATTACACTTATTATTAAGTAGTTAGATACGAGATTCTAACTTATACAAAAAGGATTGTTTGTAGTTAGCAAACTTTGTTGTACGTAACTAAGTTAGTTTCGAAAGCCAAACATACATGTATTGAGACTTAAAAACGTTTTACACAGTATGTATAGCACTAGAGACTTGTAACATTGACATCTCCTATTCCAGGCAAAATTATCAGACCAATAGCAATTAGGTGAACCATAGTTACTAGTCGAAAAAAACGCCAAACATCCTTATTGGTATGTGAAATAAAAAAGATAGGTCACCGACATCGTTTTTGAGATAACAGCACATTTATGGGTTAAATTGGAAGGCTTTATGCTGTCGTCATGTTGCCATGGGAACATTGACATCGTCGAAATCTAGTTCGAAATATTCCATAGGTGACCAATATTGCCACCAAGTCGAAACGAATTCGCGTTCTGCACGAATAAGCCTGTTTTACGGAATTATTGCTTAAACAAGAATAACTGTAGGGAGCCACCTTAAATGGTTTCCGTATGGACTCTTGTGCGTCTTCTGCATATATATACAGAAGAACTAGATTGCCAACTCATACATGCGGGGTGGCGTCACCTGTGCGATAGATCCAAGATGGCGGCTCAACCGGGCAAAAAACCTATAGCTAGTATTACGAAATCAAGTTTTTTTACTGTTTTGGTGCTTTTACTACATCGAATCCCGTTCGATCAGACTTTAGTGGCAGGAACTATGCATTGCGAATCTTTTGAATGCAAATTTAACAGGCTGTGGTGAATTAATATGAAAATATCGGTCGCTGAAGGTTGTATGGAATTGGTCAGTTCAAGTGATTTGTTTGAGTTTAGTGTACAGTACTGCTCAGAAGTAACCTAATGAAAAACGCGTTCTGAACACGTTCCAGAACACGTTCTGCATGGAGGCGTTCTGAACGCGTTCCGCGAGACCTTCCGAACGCGTTCTGGAAAGGGTTCCTGGTTCAGAAAAAATCACTTCGACAATACTCGGAAATTATCGCGAATTTCCGATTTATAGCGTTCCATAGATCATAGAAAAATTTCTTGCGAAGAGAATCAAACTAAACATTTTACAATGGCAAAACTTTCCTTCCATGCAATAACTGCCTTGTAAACAGCATTGCTACAATTTGAATATTCAAAATTGCACAGATGGCACCGTCCATGACAAAATGTTACATATGATTTGCCACGGCGAGATAAAATGTAAGACTAAAATATCTTCCAAATATCATCTATAAAAACGCATGTATAATTGTGTGCCGGAAGAGTTACTTCAGCCGAAGTTCTAAGCGAGTATATACGTAATTAATGCAATTCAGCTAGACTATCGCCCGTATTCTAAAAGCTCACTTACACTCACACTCAATGAGTGGAGGTTCAATCTAAGCTTCTCTTGAGTGTCATTGCTGTTTTTGAATAGCTGGAGGGATAGCGTCATACTTTACTCTGTGACTACTCATCCTCCATCTATTCAAAAACAGCAATGACACTCAAGAGAAGCTCAGACTGAACTTCCACTCATTGAGTGTGAGTGAGCTTTTAGAATACTAGCCAGCGTGGCCGGCTCTTTTATAAGTAGAGCCTGCCCGAAAGCCCTAGTAAATTGATACCGCCTACTTAGTTAATATTCCATATTAACACCGCCCACTCGAAATAGTTTTGTATAAATGATGACTTGAAATGTCAATTGTTCCATATTTACTATAGCCTGCGCTACATGCTTTCAATAAACTTTTTACAATAGATGGATAGCGATTCAACTGCCTGGAAATACAAGCAAAACGTCGGCATTTCGAGCGAAGGCCCTTCGATTTTGTCTGGAAATTAATAGTAGACGAAGACCGTTCAAAATTATATTATGCTTTGCACCTGTATGGCTGTACTACAGTTATAAATATTGCAGTATTAAATATAATAAATGACTTAGGAAAAGTAAATAGACCCCTTCCCGTGTTATACACGTTGGCAGGCAAATGTATCTTAAAAGCTCCAAAGAGAGCTTCGTATTATTATGGTGTATTAAACACAATGGGGAATGTATTATTTTATATAATCGTAATTTGCCAGCAAAATATAAACAAGGCAAGGACAGCCAAGGTTTTATACTCTATACTACAGTGTGTATCAAAATAATTCGAATCCAAATTTGACAGACTGCTGTTTATAAAATACTAAAGTAAACCATATAATTTTTATATGGCAATAAAGAATAGCCTATTAGGTTTCCGATTATATCGTTCTTATATCAATAAGATCAAAAATGACCAAGAAATCGTGTGTTAAAACTGGTTGCTCGAAATCAAATTTTTCCGCCGATGGGAATTCGAAGTGAGACGTACAAACAAAAGATAATGCAAACTGAATTCATCAACAAACTGTTATGTAGCAAAATTTACATAAATTCGTGTTCATTTAAAGATATTTAAGCTCCTATGCCTTCAACATGTTGAACGAGAAGAAATTCGCGTTAAATTTGCATTTATTTTTTCAGTGATGATTAGCATTTCAAAGCCTTGTGGGACTAACTTTGAAAGAAAAAATGTCCAATTCCCATCGGCGGAAAATTGTGATTTTTATGGACTTTTTTTGTCAAAGCAATACTCCTTCATTTTCCAACTAAATGACGCGTACAGCATGTCATTTGAAAGGTAAATAAATGAACTTAACAATGGTGTAAAAACCAACCGAATTTGTCAAATATATTCTGCGTTATTACACGCCAAATTTGGATTCGAATTATTTTGATACACACTCTATAGTGACCATACGGTAAAATCATACGACATATGCAATAATAGCAGTATGGCTTGCCTTATTCTGTGTAGATACCGGTATATGTTATACATTTTACACTTTGTCTTTTGAATTTTATATTTTAGCCGACAGGTTTACACTTTAATATAGCGATGCCGTTTGTTTTTACTGTATTTATTTTTAAATTTTTGAATAAATTAGCATAACATGTCAATCAACCTGTCGTCAACGTAAATCAGTTCAGCCAATCACAATTCTTGGCGACTGGCTGCCGAGAGTAATCAATTTGACTAAGGCTTTCGGGCAGGCCCTTCTTCAATTATCTGCCCTATAGAAGAGCCGGCCACGCTGGCTATTAGAATACGGGCGTATAAATCAATCAACGCATACAACGCTCTTGTCATTTTCGATATTTTACACTTGAACTATATTTATAAAGTGTGTCGCAAATCTTGGCAGTGTCAATAGTTTAATAACAAGTATGATAAGACCAAACTTACCTCGCAAATGTTGATTAGAAGAATAACCAATCAACGATATCATCCTTATTAATTAAACTAGAAGTTACTATCGCAAGGAAAATGCTGCTGGAAAAAAAATTTGATTTACATACTTTGCAAAAATGATGTAACTTTACTGCAAATTTACAGTAAAACCAAATTTCCAACAAAAATGTACATTGACATGGTATGTAAATTTTTGAATTGTATGTAAAATCCGTGTCAATTCAATGTAAATATCTACACTTTTTTCGGAAAGGCTGTAATAACCCTGGAAAAACCATGTGAAACTTTGAGCAAATTTACTATGTAAAAACCCTGTAAAAGATTCCTCAAGAACCGTGTCAAAAGCTTGTAAATTTAATTTTAAAAAGCCTGCAAACTTATTGTAAAAATGGTGGAAATTCCTCTGTCCAAATTATGTAAAAACAGTGTAAAAAAGCTGTAAAAGTAAATGAAAGAAAACCTGCAAAAAAGCAAATTCACTATGTAATAACCCTGTAAATTTAATTTTAAAATGCCTGGAAACTTATTGTAAAAATGGTGGAAATTCCTCTGTCCAAATTATGTAAAAACAATGTAAAAAAGCTGTAAAAGTAAATGAAAGAAAACCTGCAAAAAAGCAAATCTACTATGTAAAAACCCTGTAAAATATTCCTCGAGAACCGTGTCAAAAGCATGTAAATTTAAATTCAATAAGCCTAGTAAATATAGTGTAAAAATCATGCAGTTTTAAATTCCAAGGAATCATGTAGAAATCACGTAAATTTATCTGCAACGAACCATGTAAATATGCTGTAGGAAACCAATTAGCCCTTCCGAAGTTGATGAGAGGACTGGGGACGAGTGTTAAATTAAGCCCAAATTAAGAAATGAACCAAATAGCTAAAAAGACCACTTCAAAATTAGTAAGTATACAAAGTTTGAAGACGTTTGCATGAATACCCTTCGAATAATAAGCTTTCGAAAATTGTGAAATTAGTGATTAAAAGATTGTTTTTCGGACGCGCGTCCCAAAAACAAAAATTACAATACGTCTCATAGTAAATATCGCGATTTTTGAAAGCCTATATATTATTCGGAGGATATTCATGTAAACTTCTTCAAACTTTGTATGCTTACTAATTTTGAGGTGGCCTTCTTTTCTTAATTTGGGCAATTCTTAACATTCGTCCACAGTCTACTCATCAACTTCGGAATGGCTAATATGGAGAACTTCGGTAAAAACACAGTTATAATGTGAAAAACCCTGCAAATTTAAATTCAATAACCCTTTAATTTAAATTTTATATGATCAGAAAAATGATATAATATATACAGAATGAACGCATAGAAACTTTTTGTTTAAAAAATCTATCAGTATTACTGCAACGAGCAACAACGTGCATGTAAATATAGTACAATAAAATATGGAAACAGAAATATTGACATAAAAAGCGTAAAATTTCTATAAAACGTACGGAGCATTTTTTACCCTCGATCTCCGTCAATAAGTGCTAATAAGTTGGTTTATTTTACGAGTCACTTTTAAGTTTTAAGTTATTGTACTTCACTCTGTCGTTGTCATTGATTCTAGCTACTTCATCTTCAAATAGTTTTCTGCCTAGTTCCACACAGAGAGATTCTTTTGTGTCGCCTTTGCCAATTTTAATTTTTTTAACTTTACACAAATTTTTTACACGGTCAGGTTTTAAGTCTTGCAGCTGTTTCGTCTTTGTATAGAAAAGCGTCACCAATAATGCAGAATCCTTAGAAATCTAAAGAAAAGAAAACCATACGTGAATACCACATATACAGTATCTATAGAATACAGTACATTGTAATACTGTATGTGTATTAAGGATGAGTTAGTTAATTAATTTTACCGTAAACTAGTTTATGGCGTCCTCTTTCTTGTTGTAACAGATTGCACGGTAGTGTTGTGCCGCGCTGGAGTTCTGCTGGAGTTCGGGCGTGTGTTTTTGTTTGTTAACCGGAGCTGGAGTGGTAGGGCCTTCTCCCAGCTCCGGCCAGAAAGTCAGAATGAAGAGAAATGTGACAATTTCGAATAATTAGCGTTGGTTACAAACAATGCCAACATTGAATTTGTTAAAAGTGCATAAACAGTAATCTGAAGTCATATATGCTATGTCAAACCATCTCGCGATTTTCGGCTACTACACATGGTGAAATTACAATAAGTCATTATGTCTGTGATCTATCTTATCACAGAAACAGTTGTAAATCGCAAGCGTCATAATTTAATACGCTGTATCACGTCATCTTACTTTGGGGACAAAATTGAGCCGAATAATATCCGCCATAATCCCAGACTATATTGCCTGTGACTGTGTTGTGAACCAATGCAGCCGGAGCCCGAGTTGAAAAACCGGAGTTTGCACAGCACTAAAGTTCGGTGTCAGCTACGGTACACACCAGTAAATTGCTTGCGTTGTTCAGTACATTATACATGTAGTATCTGACTTACCAGCCCAACATTTATCATCCATATATAATTGATTTCGTTTAACATTTTGGTCGCGATATTTCTCGTACTCTGTCAGCTCTTCACCCTTTAGAACAAGAAAATATAATTGGCAATTAGCAAAGCATTTTCTTAATTTTACGAAATTGCAACTTTCTCCATTCTTCGTAAGTGAACAATTGTAATGTACTGTAGGCAAGGCCGTAGCGAGGGGGTATTGGGGGCGGGATTAACCCCCCCCCCAACTTTTTTAGAATTAAAGTATTCGGAAAATCGGGTTGGCCATTCGGAAAATACGGAAATAATAGTATAACAACATTTTAGTTGTTAAACAGAGAAAATAAAATATAGTTGTATTGTCAGTAGTTTAAAATGATTTACGAAATCATGGCATTTACATGGATAACATTTAACAAGTGGTAAATCGGTAAATATTTTCGGGTTCTTTTTTTCTTCTCAAGGCCAGCAACTGGGGAGGGGGGGGGGGTTGCAGCCTCTCAATAATTTGATAAAAATTATTCTTTTTTCAAAATCATGCAGACCTTTACCAAATAATATACCTTTAAAATATTGACAGTTGATTAATTTTAAGCGGCTACATTATCCATGACATACTGCAAAAAATCATATTACTCATACTTTCCTGCAAATTTTCCAATATATAGTTAATGAAATAGGCCTTCGCTACTAAATTGTAAGCAAATTGTAAATTACGACATACTAAAACGCTGTTTTCTGACCATCAGAATTCTGTCAAATCTTCCCCAAAATCCAGGAAATGGCATTTCAGAGACTCTAAATTTAAAAATTTCCTCGGGCCTTCGTTTTCAGTCCCACCTCCAATAAAAAGGCTTCCCACAGTACTGCCTACTTCTGTAATATGTCTGCGTAAAATATGCGTGTTTTTGTTTGTAAATTGCGTCTTCATTTCCCGGATAGCATACACCTTCGTGGCTTCGCATGCCATGAAATATTCGGAATCTTTTTCGTCATTCGGAAATTTTTGGTCTTCACTTCTCACATTTAATTTTAATTTGGTCGGACATAACTTGAATTTTGTCGGACAAAAACCAACATAACTAAATTTAGTCGGACATATAGATATATATATAAGTCACAAGACATATATACTGTAAGTCACAAGACAAGTATGTATGCCATTCCGGCGCAACGTTAAGTAAACTGTAAAGTAAATGCTAGAACGCCTCGTAAGTTTTATTGCAAAATGCAAATTGATCGAGTGAATTTGCAATCGGATTTTGTCACAACAAAAAAATTTATCTGATTATGTGATCCCGAGCAAAAGTTGCTCGGACATTGGGTGGGGATAAAGCGCTGAAACTGAATCGCGGACAAAACGGAAACTGAACGCGGAAACTGAAATGAGGATAAAACGCTGAAATGGGGATAAAACACTGAAATGGGGATAAAACGCTGAAATGGGGATAAAACGCTGAAATGGGGATAAAACGCTGAAATGGGGATAAAACGCTGAAATGAAGATACAACGCTGAAATGAAGATATAACGCTGAAATGTGCAAATTTAATCGAATTCGTTGTTTGCCAGACCATTGCGAACACTTGTAATTTGCCTATAAACTGAATAAATATAAGAAAGAAGTTCTCGGTAAAATGACAACCACAAACTGTTTTCGAAGAACGAATTTTATCTCAAAGTTTATCTTTTATTAATAATACATCTACAATTCTCTCCATATAACTTCGAACTCAACTTTTCAGTGAGGCACGAACTCAACTATGTGTGCCTTGTGGCACCGTTTTTGGAGTTAAAAAATTCCCCTTCATTCCAAATTTCGTTGTTTTCCTGTGGCTTTCGTAATCGCTATACATATTTTTGCTTCTTAATTTCAAACACTAGAAAGTATAATTTATTTTGTTTACTTTAAGTTTAAAATCCGCAGCGGTCCGGTTGAGCGGTCCGTATCGTGAAAAACCGGACAGCAAACGAAGCAATTTGATTGGCTAAAAAGCATGGCGAAAATTTGTGGTTGTCATTTTACCAGTTAACTTCTTTCTTATATTTATTCAGCTTTATAGCTTTAGGCAAATTATATGTGTTCGCAAACCCCTACCCCTCGGACATTTGCCAAATTTAGTCGAATATCCGACAGTAATTTGCATCCTTGCATTTGACTTCCTGGCAATTAACCAATCACAATCAAGTACACGATAATTGGAACATCGACCTTCACTGACTTTCACACGCATGGGCTATTTATATCAACAAGTCTGTAGTATTTTTAAAATCGAAAGTTTTAATACTGCGCGTATCAGAAGAAGGCCTTCATTCCATTGTAAACGAAAAGGATGTTTTCATCAATCTCACAACTGGCGCAGGAAATTACTTATTTATCAGGCAGTTACCTAAGCTATTCGATGTAATATTTGGATTTACATATTTAAACAAATTGTAAACATTGTAAAAAGTTTTTTATTTGTATATAACATGATTTTAATCTATTAATTATTTAAAGTGTGTCGAAAGAGAAATATAGACGATATGTCTTCGAAAAGCAATGCGAAATCAAGTAAAAAAAAACTACACGTCAAGCTAGGAGTCAGTGCTGTGTCATTATTAAGTGGAATCGAGAGCGATGAAGAAGCGAAGGCATTGGAATGGAAGAAGGGAAATATTCTGTATTATATGGCACAGGCAGAGTCATTGTTGAAGACAGAACGGTGGAGACGAATGCTTTATTAACAACAAAGTGTATAACAAAATGGTTTGTGCTTTGGCTATTGATGCATGAAGCTGATATGATTAAAGAATGGTATGTATTATAATAAATTCTAAAAATGTGTTCGCTTTTGTAATTCTCAAAGCCACAGGAATCAATCGGGCATTTTAATAGTCGTTGTTTAATACATTGAATTTGTCTTTTTATACATTACCTCGTATTATTTATTGCAAGTAGTACTAGCATGCAAGTTATCATATGAGACTTTCAATTATGAAGGGTTTGCATCAGATGGTTGGGGTATATATATTAATTAGAATGGCTCATATAAACTTGCTAGTACTACATGCAATAGATATTAATAGCCATAATACGAGGCAACGTATAAAAAGAAAAATTCAAGACAATATAAAATAACGACTATTAAAATTATCAAAGCCGATCGATTCCTGTGGCTTTGAGAATAACAAATGCAAACACATATATGTTTAGGATTTATTATAATACATACAGACATGAGCTTCATGCATTTATAGCCAAAGCACTAACGATTCTGCTGTACACTTTGTCTTCAACAAATTATGACTCTGCCTGGTGTGCCATATAATACAGAATATTTCCCTTCTTCCAATGCCTTCGCTTCTTCATCGCTCTCAGCATTGACTCCAGTTGTGAGATTGACGAAAACATCCTGCTTTTCGTTTACAATGGAATGAAAGCCTTCTTCTCATACGCATTAAAACTTTCAAATTTAAGAATACTGCAGACTTGTTGATATAAATAGCCCATGCGTTGAAGGACAGTGATGGTTGATGTTCCAATTATCGTGTACATGATTGTGACTGGTTAATTGCCGGGAAGTCAAATGTATAGCGAATGTGAGCAGACGTTAGGTGGGGGGCCTCGGCCACTAACAACGTCTGCGCAGGAGGCTAGATTATGGCAAGACAAACTAAATACTGGTTTATAAGGGATGACCCTTACTACAGTAGGCTTTCATGGAAAGATGGTTTAATTTTCTGTAGCTAGCTAATTAAATCTCTAAAAATACTTACATTAGGTTCACCTGACGAATCTTTGTTAGTCTAAGGGGATAAAAGCAAGGTCTTAGCTAGGATTTTAGATCTTGGGCGTGTTTCTAAATGACCAAGGTATGCACATGTCAATAACCGGTACCTTGAATGGCCAAATTCACGGTTCTATTTATACCTAGCCAACAGACAATGCCTGTGGTTGTTCTATGCTTTGGAACCAAATACAAGGCGAGCATACGCTCATATTTCGCACTGACATTAAAGAATTAAGTTCTTTCAATCAGCAACTCTTGGGGGTATTTAAAACCATTTTACAGTAACACCATATCCATCGTCCAAACATTAAAACATCACGGATAAGTTTTGCCAATTTCAACAACTACAGTAGATTTTACAAACTTTTTTACGACATATTTATAGGAAGAAATTATGTCCGTAACACCTCATTTTTTGAACCTACCCGGCCTTATACAAATAATGAAGCCGCGTTCATTATATCTAGCCGTGTTTTTCCATTTTTGCCCGTGATAACACGGCCAACATGGCCCTCTAGCTAAGACCCTGGATAAAATGAAATTACATCTTAATCAATCTTTGCATGCTTAAGAACGTTACACAATCACATCAATCTGGGAAAAGGGAGTACAGTATAAGTGCATGAAGATTTTAGTAATTTGATAGTCATCAATGATGTAGCAGTCTCTTGGTTTACTGTCCCTAATTGCATGTTACGAGGATCTGTCAAGGCCCATTTACACGGTACCACAGAATAGGAAGTTATACCAGAAGCGTAACTCGAGCAAATATTTGTCCGCGTTTTTACAAGCGATTCGTCATCAATCACGCCATCCTGGCTAGTACAACCGGCACTTTGTACCTACCAAATCCTGATAAAAACTTCCGGCTGTACTAGTCAGGATGGCGTGGCCTGACGTGAGCGAGTTAAAATTTTCGTGGACGTCAAACAATAAGGGAAACGACTAGAGTTACGCTTCTGGTATAACTTCCTATTCTGTGACGGTACGATTAGTTGTATACGATTCCTATTCTGGCGTAATGTGATCGAATAAACACGCGTACAAACGTCACATTTCACATTTCGCCATCAGCGAATGAGCAATATAAACGTGGCATTAGCACTCGTTTTCATTCGTCAGAATGACAATCGTATACAACTAATCGTATCGTGTAAATGGGCCTTTATGCCAGCTTCATTTTTACGCACGACCTTTTGTTCTGCCCTTATAACTGTTATCCAAAAAGCAAATGTTCGTAACGTATATGAACTTTACAACTGATAATCGTGCTTGTCAATACACAGGCATTCCTTTGGAGAGAAAATTTACCCCAAATTTTCGACTATCAATTAACTAATCGCTCCCAGTGTTATTACCAATATTAAGACTGGATTTGAAATGTGGGTCATGTACAGTGTGTAATATATTTTAGACTGCTCAATTAGATGCATTATATTCCGTAGTAAGACTTTCTCATTAATATCAATTCGAATCTAGACTCTAGTTCATTAGTTCGATTCTTCAACGTAAAAATCCCCAAAACAACAACCTATTGTCTTATAGTCCACGCCCCTATGACGCGTGCGTAATGTCCTATTTATAAATGTCTATTAATAAACAATATCTCACACTCCCCCCTTGACCAGTCACAACTGGTCAATCATGGACTGTCTTTTCAAGTCTGCGTTTATTGCCGCTATTCTCCTTTGTCTTGTTGGTTTTTCTTCGTTCTGAATGTCTGCATCTTGTTTTGACTCCTTACTGTCCTCGTTTTTTCTTTCTTCCTTGATCTCTAATGGCACAAGTTTTTGAATTGGACGTCGTAATACGATTGGTTTCCCTTTCTTATTCAACGCTCGTAACTTTACACCTCGTACTTCACCGTCTTTACTTTTAAGCAAAGCTTCAACTCTACCGATCTTCCATTGACTCCTAGGTAGACCTTCTCCTTGCACAAGAACTACTTCCCCAACTTCTACTTCCCGAACCGTATTGTTGGTATATGTAATATTTCGATGAAATTCCCGTAGATCAGCTAAGTACTCCTTGTTCCATCTCTTCCAGAAGTGCTGCAACAATTGACTCAAGTATCGTTGTCTCCGTACAATTGCATTACTATCTTCCTCACTGTCACTAAATTCCTCTGGATCTGGTAATGTTGATATCCGCCTTCCGATTACGAGATGTGATGGTGTCAATGGTTCTCCATCAGACAATTCCGAATATACGTAAGTCAATGGGCGAGAATTGAGTGATCCCTCAACTTCTGTCAACACCGTGGTTAACTCTTCAAATGTTAATCTCGCATTTCCGAGTATTTTACGTAGACTCCTCTTAACTAACTGTACCATACGTTCATAGTATCCACCCCACCATGGGGCACGTTCCAATATGAAGTTCCATTTGATCCTAACAGTTGTCAAGAACTCTTCCAGTTTCTTATCTTTGAACAATTCCGCAAGTTCCTTATCTGCCTTTTTAAAGGTCTTAGCGTTATCCGATGTAATGGATACTGGAGTTCCTCTCCTTGCTATAAAACGTCTTAAACATCGAATAAAAGCTGTAGTTGATAAGTCATGTACTAGTTCCAAATGTAGAGCTCTTGAGGTAGAACATGTGAATAGACATATATATGTCTTCTTCATCTGCTTTTTAGGGTCGCTAGTTTTTACAAACAAAGGTCCAGCAAAATCGACCCCCACATGTGTAAAGGCTGCTGTTTCCTTGACTCTATGTTCTGGTAAACTGGCTTGTTTAACCGGTTTAAATGGTACACTATGGACTTTCCTACACTTTACACATCGGTTAAGAATGTATCTCACCAATTGACGACCTTTTGGAATCCAATATTTACTCCTTAACTCTGTTAGTGTCTCTTTTATTCCTCCATGCTTGACTTTCTTGTGACAGGACTCCACGATCAATTGAGAAATGCTGTGATCTCTCGGCAAGAGAATTGGGCTCCTTGTTTCCACGTCAGTAGATGCATTTTCCATTCTTCCTTTACATCTGATAATGTGATCTTTATCTGCATAAAGTCCGAGTTGGTTGGTCAGATCTTGGTAATTCTTCTGTTTCTTCACATGTTCCTGTATTTCTCTGATCCAAATTTTCTCTGCATCATCAATTTCCTCAATAGTGAGTGTATTTGGCTTTAACAATGGATCAATTTTACCACAGGCTTTCTTCGTTTTGAGATTTCTAATGAATCTCTTAACCCACGCTGTAACACGAAACAACTTGGTTACGCTACTGTAAGACTTGTGGTCTATTATCTCTGAGATTTTTGTTGAACCGACTGTTTCTGGTGGATGTGTTTCACTAACATTTGTCACATTAACCACTGTGGTATTCCCCTTGGTAGGTAATTTAACGCGACATTCTTTCATGCACTCTTCGGAGAGTTCTACATCACTTTGTGCAAACTCACGATTTGGGTATGCAGAGGGATCAAGTGTTAACCATTGCGGGCCTTTCCACCATAAATCATTTTGTGCTAGTTCTGAGGCCTTCTGTCCACGAGAACCAATATCCGCTGGGTTTTCTAAACCTGGGCAAAATCTCCAAGTTTCTGAATCAGTTAATCGTAGAATTTCGTCGATTCTGTTTTGTACAAATTGTTTATAATCCTTCTTACCCTTAATCCAGTGAAGGACAGTGGAGCTGTCCGTCCAACAAGTGGTCTCCGTGATGTTAAAGATTTTGCTTAGAGTCTCTTTAACTGACATGAGACGTGCTAATATCAATGCTGCTATTAACTCAAGTCGAGGGATAGACATTGGTGCTAATGGGGTGACTCTACTTTTCGAGGCAACAAGATTTGTTGTGCGGCCACTGTCTGTTTCCATGCATATATAAATGACAGCACAACAAGCTTTTTGGGAAGCATCTCCAAATCCGTGAAGAGTCACACTTTCAGGATGCCTCTCCTCTGCCAAAAAGTAATATCTAGGTACAACTATAGAACTCACCGTCTCTAAATCATCAATCCATTTCTCGAGCACCTTCTGATTGGATTCTGATATGACTGCATCCCATTCATACTTAGCTGCACACAATTCTTGTAGAAGCATTCTCAGCAAGACAGTAACTGGCGAGAGAAGTCCGAGTGGATCAAACAGTTTTGCTGCTATCTTTAAAACGTTCCGTTTTGACGGCTCTAAATTTCTTGCAAATTGAACAACTTTTGCTAACTTTAAAACAAAAGTATCACTGTCAGTATCCCAATTCATCCCAAGCATCTTATGTTCCTTCGGGGTTTCTATTTCTTCCAGACCGCCAATCGACTCTTTAGCATATGAACTTTCACCGGTGTTGTTCAAATACTCTGTGGTTAGTGACTTTAATACTTCCTCATCATTCTGAATCTGAGGCATCAATACTGGACTATTGGTAGCCCATTTCCGCAGATTAAAATTGCCCGCTGCGAAACAAGATTTCATCTGTCGATACATTATATATGCATCATCCGTGGATTCTCCTCCTCCTGACCAATCATCAACGTAAAGCTCAGAAAGAATCCTTTCTGCACAGCTAGGGTCATCATAATAGTAATTCGTAATGTGGTGACGTAATGTTGCGTTCAGGAGAAATGGAGAGCACTTCATGCCAAAAATAACCCTACAGAAGCGGTAGACTTCAACATATGGATTTTCCTTGTTTATGTCATCAATCCACAAGAAACGCATCATGTCCTTTTGTTCCTCATCAATAGCAACATTGAGAAATGCCTTCTCAATATCTGCAACCATTCCAATTCTTCGTCCTCGAAAACCCAAAAGAACCTTTAGAATATCTGTAGCCAGAGATGGTCCAGTGTGAACGCAATCATTCAGAGATGGGCACTTTGGTTTAACTTTCGCACTGGCATCGTAAACAACTCGCACCTTTGTAGTGGTTGCATCTTTTCGTACCACTGCTTGGTGTGGGAGATAGTGTGTAGTGCCTGGTACTGAGTCTTCATTTTGATCTTCAACCTTTTCAACAATTCCTTGACTTAATTGTTCTTTAAATATCTGGTTGTATTCCTCAAATAGACTGGGTTCTTGCCTTAAACGTTTCACTTGCGAGTCTAATCGTGCTAGACTTAAATCATAATTGTCCGGTAAAATATCATGTTTTTCTTTCAAGGGTAATTTAACGTGATATCTACCCTTCTCAAAAGATACGTTTCTTTCAAATGACTCATGCACCGTCTCTTTGTCTGTTATACCAATTGACTCTAAATCCCACAGACGATGTAATAACTCCTCAGGTTGTTTTTCATTCTCCACACTTGGCAATTCGGCTGCTACTCTCAATACATGAGTTGAAACAAAGTTCACAGAAGACAGAGTAGTTTTCTTTCTTGATGGCATTGGGCCTGACAAAACCCATCCCAGGATTGTTTCGCTTGCGATTGGACTATTGGCATTCTCCCCCCGTCTTATCTTGCCAGTGAAAAATTTACCGATTTGATCAGCTCCAATTAATAAATCTATCTCTGCTACACCGTCCCCTTCATTATTATCAGCTAAGTTTAAGTCACTCAAATGTTTGTACTCTACTTGGGCTCGGTCAATTTCTTGATTTCCTAGCGGTGCACAAATCACTGGCACGACAAATGCTTCTACTTGTGTTCTAGTTCTACCAGTAATGTCCCCAACTGCTAAGTTCACTGTCTCACAAGAAGCAGTTAGTTCAGTTTCGCATTCTCCGAATGTTTTTATTCGTAAAGATTTTGTACTTCCTGTGGGCAATTGCAACTTATTTCGCACTCGTTGGGTTAAATAACTTCTCTGGCTGCCCGAATCAAAAATAACTCTTACCTCAGTGGTCAACTTCTTGTTTCCAACGCCAACTTTCGCCTTGGCTGTTTGTAATAAGACTGAATCTTGTAAACATGCGTGATAATTTCTGGTCTCTTTCGTGTTTCCTGTGTCTTTCGTGTCCCTTGATTGTGTTGTTTGTTCTTTAGCTATGGCTAGACTATCTTGTACATTTCCTAATTGCTGTCTGGAATTTGATTCTTGTCTCGTTGCTAAGGACTGTCTCGAATTTGTTGCTAAGGACTGTCTCGAATTTGTTGCTAAGGACTGTCTCGAATTATTATTACACAGACTAACATGATGCTTTCCCGAGCAATATTTGCACATATACCTTGATTCGGAATCCCGAGCAATATGATTTCGTTTGAGACACAAAAAACATCGTCCTTGCTTTCGTAAGATCTGTTTTCTTGCTTCGATATCCGTAACAACAAAACAACTAGCTGACGTATGTTCTTGTTGACAAAACGAACAGTTAATAGTTGTCTTCCCCGTCATTAGCGCTGCTGCCGTAAATGGCGTGTTCGAATATTTTCTCCCTCCTCGTTGTTCGTTGAAATTTCGACCGTCTCTAAAGGATAAAGCTTGAATTCCTTCGCATCTTTCCCGGTTTTCCAATTCCTCGCGAAAATTCTCAAGTAACGTATTCAAATTCCATGATTCGCCTGTCATTTTGCGACCGAGTAAAATGCGTATTTCGTCGGGTATTTTGCCGATTAAAATCGGTAATAACAACGCTCCGTATTCCGTGTCTGGCACGTCTAACGATTTTAGCCCTCTCACGTGTGCTTCGATTTGATCATAAAGACGCCGTAAACCTTTAGTATCGGTAGATGAACGTAGTTGTGGGAGTTTTAATAAACTATCCATATGGCTACTAATGACAACTTGCTTGTCTCCGAATCTTTGCTGTAATAGTTCAATCGCAGTTTCATAGTTACTCTCTGTCAACGATAAACCCTCGATCGTGGCTGCTGCAGACTTTTCCAGTAAACTTTTTAAGTAATTGAATTTATCCACGTCGGATAACCCCGGATTCTCATGTATTGCGCACTTAAAACTGTCCCAAAATGCTTGCCATTCGCATGGCTGTCCATCAAATTGTTTTAGAGTAAGTTTTGGCAACTTCGCATGTTTTATTGTCGATTGATAATGTCCTGGTGTAGATAGTTGCTGTGAATCGTTCATACTCATAGACATAGTTTCATTCATCGGTTTGGCCTCGAGCACGCTGTCGATATTTACAATCATTTCGTGAACACTCTCGCGATATTACTCATTTTATCCTCAATTTAATCCAGCTCTGAAGGACCATGCAATATATTTTAGACTGCTCAATTAGATGTATTATATTCCGTAGTAAGACTTTCTCATTAATATCAATTCGAATCTAGACTCTAGTTCATTAGTTCGATTCTTCAACGTAAAAATCCCCAAAACAACAACCTATTGTCTTATAGTCCACGCCCCTATGACGCGTGCGTAATGTCCTATTTATAAATGTCTATTAATAAACAATATCTCACACAGTGCATGTAAATAATGGACAGTGTGCTACCGAAGTCAATATGAGTTGCTCACATACTGTAATTCTGTAAATATTATGTGAGTCCAGTGCTTGCCCCACTTGCAGTATTTTCAGAATGAAATACTGTAAACCCAACCTTGTTCGCACATCTGTCAGCTCACATGCTCACGCTTTTGACAACTTTAAATAAGATGCATAGTCTTTTTTTTTTCTGTGTTGGTGTTGTGTACTCAGGTGAATAATATGTTTGTGATGTTACTCTGAGTGTATATCCACACCGGGCGAGCTTGAAAAATATGCCCGGCCACGGTGGGAATCATAATATTGCATGCATAACATGCATTAAATACATACAGTAAAGGTACAGTTACCTGTTTGTTTACTTCATCCTTGCCATTTGTTTTCTCTGCATTTGGCTCCTGCACTTTTCTTTTGAGATCTTTCCTTTCAGTAACACCCTTAAATAAGGTTAAGTTAATCAATTTAGTTGGAACACGTTCCCCTTGTTTAAAGTAAAATCTGGCAGCGGTGCTTAGGCAATTTAGTGCTAGACAGAGTAAAATCAATCTCGTACCCAGAGCAATACCTGTGCGCGGGCGACGAAGGCATTGGCTCAGGGGAAATCGACAACCTGAACCCCTAAGTTTAGGAGTTCCAGTTGTTGACGGCATGCAATTTATTGATAAACGTTAAACCAATCAAAGCACAGGAAAAATTCTATTTCCCCATAGCCAATGCCTCCCTCGCCCACTCATTGCTCTTGGTACAAGAATGGAGTAAAATTGGAAAGAAGGGGAAAAGAAGAAGAGAAAATTATTAGAAAGGATTAGAAATAGTAATTTGTAGTGTTGTTGTTCAAGAGGAATAAATTGATATTATTGGTTTATTGTCGTTGCAAAGTTTATAAGACTAAGATTAAGAAGAAGGATATTACAAATACCAGAAAGCCTCCTTGGCCAGCGCGTGTCGCTGTGTCTGGTCAAGGAGGGCAACGAGCGTAAAGACGAAGATGCAACATACATTTTTGTTCGTTCTCGCCGGCGAACGTAACAGTGTTTATAAAAGATTCGTAAACGAAAGAAAAATACTCTATCTGTGGAAGACTTAAATTTGTTAGTATCCCCAAGAGTTGATGCTTGCGATGTTACCCTGAGTGAATATTATCCGGCCGCACCTGGCAAGCTTGAAAAATATGCCTGGCCATGGTGGGAATCGAACCTACGAACTTTGGTCTTGGCCAGGCATATTTTCAAGCTTGCCCGGTGTGGATATACACTCAGAGTAACATCACAAGCATCATAATCACCTGAATCAGAGACAGAGTACACTACGCCAATATAGAAAATTATCATGGTATTCGGTTTTACATCAGTTAGCATTAGCTACAGATTGAAGTTTCAGGTATTTAACATATCAATCGATTGATAGACTCCTAGACTAATTTAAAGTGCATGGTATAAATGCCATTTAAGGTTTTGATAAATTAAATATTTAAAAAATCAAACTAAATTTTCTTACCTGACCTGAAAATAGTAAAAGAACTTTGCTGAAGCCAGGTCAGTGATAGAAGGAATGTGTCACAATTGCTGGTTGGCATCCTATTCTTTACACAGCAAATTTCTGGAATTTTCTATTTCTTGTATACCCCAGGCAGTGTCTGCTTCAATTCCCTATTAATGTATTGAAATTTAAATTAATTTAACATAATTTGACAAGTCAGAAAAGTGGTGTAGTCAATTTATAGCTATAAGTCATTGCACAAGGCAAAT